CTTGTGATGGTTGAGCTGATTTAGAAGATGGTTCTTGCTTAAAAGGGCCAACCCTTTCCCCCATGTAAAATGCAGAAATATTAAAACCACTTCCATAGCATGACGAACTTTTCAAACCATGGAGGCATCTTTTCTTGTGGTTACTTTTATTTTGAATCCTGCAAAATTAATACCCAATCGAGGCAGTAATTTCCAAACTTATTATGTTGCTGATAACTATATTAACATGTACCTATTATAAAAAAAAAGTTGAACTATTTGATTTAATCATAATTTTTTTGTTAATCAAGTTCACTGTTCTGTATGTCTGTTTTTACACTATACTTTATATAAATTACTCTAATGCCTACCCTTTTTGTCTGCTTCCATAAAATGAAATAATAATTTCATACAATGCAGTACCAGGACACTGGTGTTTTCATCGCCACAACTGCCATTACATCAGCACCCTTCCCAGTCTAAGCCCTAACTCAATTGTTATCACATTGGTATGCCTGTTCTCAGTCCTCTCCTTTCAACTAACATGGACCAAAGACACTCTGCAAGACCAATTTCTTCACTGTTTTTACAGTAATCCAAATGCCTATTTGGAATAAAAGCAAGATTCCTGAGTGAAGTGATAGAACTAGAAGGAACCAAGTACTTAGCAACCTGATAACTCTTAGCAAACATTAGTTGTGTCAGTAAGAATCTAAAGTCCTATGAATATCAGTAACCCCTTGTTCCCATTCAAAACACAGTACTAATGAAACATCCTCATTCACAGTAAGAATTACAGCTACTGTAAAAATTAATTCATCCACAGAAACATTATCGCAATAGGTGTTCTAATGCTGCAGTTTTAAAACATGTAATAAATCCAGTAACTTACCTGCAATCCATGCTTTGCGTCAACAACACATAAAATTCCTAAAAGAAAACATTAAAATGGAATAGAAATTTGCTGAAAGCAGGCGACAGTTTTAACAACTGGTAAACAATACCAGCACATTTACAATTGGTTATAATAAAATGGAAGCATTGAAAGTATCTGAACTCTAGACTTGTCACCCAAACATTTTTTTATTTGTCACTCACATCTGTGGTAACAAAATGTCTACAAAACCAGGTGAGATAAATTCTCACAAAGTGGATGCCTCTTTTTCCACAACAGCAAATTGGCAAAGGTATGCTTTTACAGGATATTGAAACAAATTAAGAGAACTGTCTGAGGTATGCAGATATTCTAAGTGACCAGGAATTTGCAAGTCTCTGGCAGAATTTTAGGAAGCTCTTTCTTATTCAACTCAGTGTTTCCTTCCTTGGGCAAATGGGTATTTCACAGACTGACCAAAGCATTGGTAGGACATTTGTTTAAGCCAAAAATTAAATATTTTTTCCTACATTAAAAAAATGCCCTTGAACTACATATAGTGATGATTTATATTTCAGTAAATGCAGATTTTTATTGGAACACAGCAAATACTAGAGCTAACAAGAGTCCAGTAGGCAGAGAAAGCGAAAAACAAAAGGCAGAATCATCCAGATGTTGACAAGTCACGAGTTCAGAAAAAAGGAAACCACTTAGGAAACATTGCATGGGGGGGGGAGAAAGAAAAAGGAAAAAAGCATGCTCTAATATTACTCATAAATAATGTTTTATAACATCTAGCTAATGAGGATCAAGAGACAATCAAGATCTCTCCATATCTGATCCCCTGGCAAAGCACTACAAAACTTCTATTGGATTTAGCAAACTGAAATATTTTGTCAAGGAGACAAACAAGCATCAGAATAAGCAAGGGTATCTCTGTGGCCAAAACAGATGTGAGAACCAACTTCATGCATTTCAAACATTGTCTGAAACCCTGCCTTAAATGCTAAGACTATATTACACCAAACGCAGATACGGAATGCAAATACATAGGAAAACAAGTTTGCACTTCTTACCATCAAGGTAGATGTCACTTCCTAGTTCAGAATCAACCCAGAACATGGAGGCCACAGCTCCTAAGAAGTGTAGTATACATACAGTTGCAAAATTGAGATTTTCCAGTAAACTACCACCATGCAGACATTTCATAGAAAAACTGCATTTGTAGTGCTGTACTTGAAATTGCTCTCTTCAAATTCAGAAATCACAGATGTCAAGTACCCTGTGTCAAGCCACACATTTGACCTAACAAAAGCTACCAAAGCATTGCACTGGTGTACACGTCCACAGCTATGACTACAAAAAGCTTTAAAAATCTTTAAAATCTTCATCATTTCTAAATAGCCTGTACTTCCCCTCTTCATCTTTCAGCCCCTGTTTATAGGTCATGGCACAGAGATACACACGTCCACTCCCACCCCACCAGCCAAAAAGGAGATATCCACTGAATTTCCATGAAGATGAGGTGTTTCTGAATAATGAAACACACAGTACTCTGTCTTTTTTTGTACAGTAAAATGTAAAATGGCAAATGTTAAATTGACAAGTCAGGAGAAAAAAAGAATTAGCAAGTATTTGGACAAGTGGGACCACATCCTATCAAAGACCTGGAATGTGTGACCTGACACCTGTACTACACATGGCCTAGGAGTAGGCTAATCCTTTTTTCTGCTAAAATAGCCCTGTAAAGCAGATTCTAGTTCAAACTCCTCTGCCATGGGCAGGGACACCTTCCACTAGACCAGGTTGCTCAATGTCCTATCAGGCTAAGACTGTTGAACATGTCAGAAGAAAAAAGAAAAAAATCAGTAACTAAAGTCATTCCAACACCTAAAATTGCCCACCTGAAGTGATAAGATGCAGTCCTTCAAACACCACTCTGTATCAACACCAAATACCTGTCAGTTGTTCACAGTGCTTACTCATGCAAGATATAGCAAGGGCGACAACATGTAATGGTTTTCTGATATCTATTGATTTTTTTCCAAAATGCTTAATAGTTTTCCAATTTGATTCAAACAGAATTTGTGTGTAACAGAGGCCAAATCAATATCCTGTCTTTTGAAGAAAATTACTTTACCATGACAACTATTTAGCTTTGAGCTGAAAGGCATCAGTCTCCTAAAGGGGAAACAATTGGATTTCTGATAAGAATTTCCTTCACTCTCCATCAACAACACATTTTTAATTGGGATGGTTTGGATAAAATTGTTTTAGATAGTTATTATTAACATGAGCTTAAGTTTAAACACCTTCTTATAATAAATATCACTAAAGAGTACACAAAGACTTTGTAAAATGTATTACTGCTCTGTAAGAAGAATGTATTGGTCTGTTTCACACTGTATTTTAGGACTTCACAAAACATAAGGCCTATCACAATCAGTGTAACAATACAATAGATGATAACAATTTACATTTTAAAAGGAGCAATGTAGAACATTAAAAGTCTACTGAAAACTACTAGTTTCAGAGAGTGCTCCTCTTCTCTAAGACCAGTGTCTTTTCTTGATAGAAATATATTTTAACTGGATTTCTGTTAACCTTTAGAGTCAATTAGGAGCAACTTCAACAAAACAAAACACAACTAAACAACCCATACACAATCCCACATCTGCCCTTATCCAATTCATTGGAGTCTACACAGCAATCAAAGCATATATGCCTGACAACTCACCATTTTATATTACATTTTGCAAAGTGAACTGACTGGTGAGCAAATAAACATTCCATAAAAACAGAATAATTATCATGGTTATTAAAGTCAGAATGTGAACTACCTGGATCTGCCAAACCAGTTGTTTCTAATAATATATAGTCAAATTTTCCTCTCCTTTGCATCAAGTTCTCAATAGCCTTCACACCATTGTCCCTGTAAGAAGAAACAAACCTCAGAACAGAGAAAACAAGCTAAAACGTGCATTAACATGTATCTTCTGATGCAGAACACAGTGTTAGTATCATCAAAGCCAAAGTCCTGAGTCAGGACTTACAGTCTACAATGAAAATTTAGTCATCATATTGCTACTATAATATTAGGCAAATTTTAGTTTTCTATTTTATTTTAGTCTGAAAATAGTACTTGCCTACTCTCACCAGGCATAATAAAGGTGACTCAAATGAAGATTTATTTTCAAACACTGAATACTCTGTAAAGGACAGTAGGGACCTGTGTAGATATGTAATATATCTGGGTTGGCAGCTGAGATTACAGAAAAAAGGGATGGGGTGGAACTGAACCACGTTCCTCTTCCCACCTTTCCATCTCACCTATACCAAAATTAAGATGTGCCATTTACTCAAATCGCAGCTGATGAAGTCAGCCTGAAGTAGAAATTTATAGCATAAGAAACAATGTATATAGAACATAGTAGCAATGGTACCCTTCCTTACACTCCAGCAGAACACAATGCAATAGGGACTTCCGTTTACCACTTATTACCTATTATTAGCTTAGGCACAGGACCAATTCTTCCAAATTTTTAGGACAAACACGCCATGACTTTTATTATAAGGTTAGCACAAACAATCTAGCATTCAAACAAATAGGGTAAAAACCATGCCAAAGAAACAAATACTCTCCTGCTTTTTAACATGACCATCAGCTTACAATTTTGAATATTGTGTTTCATTAGGTTGCAAAAGGTTCTCCATTCACCCCTTCTGATGTATACAATATGCAATATACAATATGCAAGTATTAACCACCATACAGAGAAAGAAACACAGAGTAACGTGAAAACTGGAAAACCTGAGTCCTAATTCCAGCCTCCTTGAATCTTTAGCTCTCTATATGCAAGTACATAATACTAATAGAAGAGGGACAGAATAGAAGAGCTCTCTACTCTCCAATACCCCAATAGCGTATGCACCAGTATTTAGATTAGTTTTCTAGAAGACACTAACTCCACATCAGTAAGGCAACAAAAGGAAATAAATTTCTATCTCCCTAATTCCAATTCTTGTTTCATCTGACAAAAGTCTCAATCAATACTACCCTCAGTTTTAGGAACTAAATCCTGGATATCTTTTCCTTTCCTCAATTCCCCCCAAGACTCACTGTAAGAACTTGTACAACAGTCATTCCTTACTTTACTGAACAGCACAGGCAGCCATTTCTGAGCTCCAGCCATTCTTCATAGAGTTCTCCCCCTTGACTGATTGCCAGAGATTTCTCCAAGGCACTTCCTGAAAATACAAGTAGTACTATATTTTTAATCTACAATCTTGCATGCCAATGCCTGTAAGAGAAAGAAAAAGATTCAAGTTGGTACACATTACTACTCTTAAATTATATTCTTTTCTTCTGAGACCATGCTTCTGACATGTGCTTTGGAAATTAGCATTTTCCATTTTATGACAAATTTAAAAGCCAAGGTAAAGTTGGTTCTACAAAGACCAAAACTCACAGGATGATGTACATCATAAGTGCCACAAACTTTGCTAAAAGAAAGGGAATTTAGCCAGTGCCTCTGTATCAAATAAAGGATCTGTCTCTACATTTTATTTAGGCTCCAGGGCCAGAAAAACAGCATGCATCTTTGCTGATGAAAACAAAGAAACAAAGAGCCCAGCACCAACACAGAGCAAACTGTAAGCACCTCTGACTACGGCACAGATAGAAAATTACAGCCATAGCAATTAAAAATCCTGAAAGCAAAGAGTTCAAAGAACCATAGATACCAAGCACACGTTTCCCCCCATTTCTTGGTCTAAGATAATTTGTGATCTGTAAATGGCTCAGGGGAAAGTAAATAAAATATTATCTACCACCACGTTATTTTAATTTCCATTTGCTTGAAACTGGGTTGGACAAATGGAGGTATAGCACTTCCAACAGGGTGATATATTCATTTACTTTACTCTGAGAGCCTGAATTTAAGTGCAAAACAGATTAATGTGTAGCACTGTTTTAGGAACACCAGCAAAAGGATTTTCTGCACTTCTGAAGACTATGGGGTATATCAATAATTTCATTAATGGATTTCAAATTACAATGGTCTTGATTACAGCAATTTTATATACTTGTCATTTTGTGGCAAAAAAAAAGTTTCTGCATGTTTACATACCTTCTCCAAATTCATTCAGGATAACTGCTATTCTTTTATTATGCTGTTCTGTCAGTATGTAATTTAGAAGAGTAGTTTTCCCAGCTCCTAGAACACAGACCATATTTCTATTAAAATGTAAAAAAAAAAAAAAAGGCTTAAATTTTCAAATAAAAAACAAATACTGTTATGCACATGCACAGTTCGGGTAAATCTCTTCTGAAATATTAGTTCTCGTTCTAATATCCTACATTCTATTGTAACGATGTAGAAATTAATTTGTAGAGATATTTGACCTCATGGACCCCATTAAATCTCAGTCTTAAATCATGCATTGTTTTCCACTCACTAAGTGTCAGTGCTTGATACAATTCAAAAGTCCACTGTGAGCTTGGCAGTCTTTTCACAGAAAACTAACTTTTGTGTTTTTTCTTAACAAAAGGCACACTTTATCTTCTCCCTCCCATTGCCTTCTCTGACAACTCTTCTGTCGTTAGCAACCACAGACGTGCCACTAGCTGCCTTTAAACAGAACACTGTTAAACACACAACCCATAACCTCTGCAACACCACCTTACCAACGGTTCCATCCCATGCACAAAATCACAGAATTGTTACGTCTGGAAGGCACCTAGACTAGATCATCTAGTTCGAATTGGATGATCATCACATGTTGGGGAATTTGGTAAGGCAATCTTCTTTCCCTCCCCTTAGGGTTTTCCTGAAGGAGCGCGATGCAGCATCAGAAAAGTGCTGGCGATCCTACATTGAACCAGATCCTTACCGTCCACAACTGTGACTGT